TGTTTCCATGTGCCTGGTTGGGTGTTCCAGTGCAAAGCCAGATGTGCTGGGAGCAGTACAGAAAGCATTTTGGTACTGTTTCGAAGTGTACATTGTTCCCCTGTAAAGATGCATCAGACATCACTTTTCAGATCTGCCCTTCCTGACTTTTCATTTAAGCACAGCTTGGACTAATTTGGCTGCTCTGGTCTCACTGGGTCAAGCAGCAAGCCTCACCGAAATGCTCTCAGAGAACGCTGGAGAAAGCAGCTGGCGATGTGGGTACCGAGAACAAACGTAAACGGTGTGGCATTTTGAGGATCCAAGACGCCACACATCAAGAGGGGGGAATAGGAGGAGAACGTTCTAGGGGGCCTGGCCAACCTGGGGGCGCATAGGAGACAGGTACATCCCTTGTTTTGCTTGCATAAGATGGCTGGTTTGGGCCTGAGTGAGCGGAGGGAAGGCCAAGAAGAAACCTTTTTTCCCCCCCTGGGGACTTGGCACCCGTTATCTCAGCAATCTTTACACTAACCTTGTAAGGTAGGAAAGCCAATGTGAGTTGGCACTTTAAAGCAGGCCCTGGGTTTTCCGGCCGCCTCACAAAAGCAGTGCTAGAGAGGTTCAGGAGATCTCCTCAGTTAAGAGTGCGTTTCCCCAGTAAGCGGAAGGCAGGTTTTATCCCGGAACCGAGAATGTATTTGAACTTGCTGCTATTATGGATTTGTAAGTGTCATTATTGTATTGATTGGTTTTTAGGGTTTATTCCCCTCCCTTGTCATCAGCTGTCCTTATACTGTTTTGAAAAGCATCTGGCAAGGTAGAAAGTGAACGAACGAACGAATGAACGGGTAAATACAGGGCAGTCCCCACAGTGTTCTTTCTGCTTCATGGGAAGAGTGCTGAAATGGCTGTGCTGAATGTGGGAACAGGCAGGGGAAGGTCAGCGGCTGCTCTTCTCCTCGGGGATAATTGCCACTCTCCGGGAGACTTTAATGGGACAATAGATCGTCTAGACAGAAAACCACAAAAGGACAACGAATTCAGCGGAAAATTGCCAAAGAATTTTTTTGAATTAGTTAAGCAAGAAAAATTAGAAGATGTTTGGAGGAAATGGAACCCGATGCAGAAAGACTTTACTTTTTATTCCAATAGACATTGCTCTTTTTCCAGAATTGATATGATTTGGATGTCTGAAGAATTATCAATGAAAACACATAAGACTGAAATTTTGCCAAGATGTAATTCAGATCACAATCCGGTGGTATGGAGTTCCACAGAAAGGAAAAAACCCTTTCTGTGGAGGATTAATGAAGACTTGTTGGATAAGAAAACGGTAATTGAGATGTTAAAGGAAGAAACGAAACAATTCTTTCAACAAAATTTAAATAAAGAAACACCGATACAGATTGTATGGGATGCTTATAAAGCGGTGATGAGAGGAATTCTCATCTCGCAAAACGTGAAGCAAAAAAAGGAAAAACTTCAAAAACAAACAGAAGTGTTAGAAAAAATTGCTCAGAAAGAAAAGGAATTAAAAAAGAAGCCTGGAAAAAAGCAAATTATTAAAGAATTAAAGTTGCTGAAGGAACAACTGAATGAGACTTGGAATCAGGAAATGTATTGGAATTTAAAGAAGTTACAACAGAAATCTTTTGAAGGGGCGAACAAACCGGGAAAATACTTAGCTTGGCAACTTAAGGCTAGAAGAGAGAGAAGAATGATAACCAAAATAATAGAAGATGGAAAAGAGTTCGTTGATCCTAATGGAATAAAGAGATGTTTCTTCAAGTATTATGCTAAACTATTCCAAACAACTAGAGTTGATCTTGAGAAGATTAAAACATATTTAAAGGAGATTCCACTACCAAAAATAAGTAAGGAATACAAAGATTTATTAAATGGTCCAATTCAAAAAGAAGAAGTGATGAAGGCAATAGAAGAGACAAAGTTGGGGAAGGCGCCTGGGCCGGACGGATTTACAGCGAAATTCTACAAAAAGATGAAAGAAGAAATTTCCCCGGTCCTGGAAGCTTTAACCAACGAAATAAGAGAAAACAAAAAGGTGCCGGACTCATGGAAAGAAGCAATTATTTCTTTGATTCCAAAGGAAGGACAAGATTCAACAAATGTAAAGAACTACAGGCCAATATCTCTTTTGAACAACGATTATAAAATCTTTGCAAAAATTATTGCAGAAAGGGTGAAAAACTATTTACAAACGGTAATTTCTGAAGATCAAGCGGGCTTTTTACCCAAAAGGCAGATTAGAGACAATGTAAGAATAGTAATGGACGCAATTGAATATTATGAAAAGCACCCAGAAAAAGAAGTAGCTTTTCTGTTTGTTGATGCAGAAAAAGCTTTTGACAATCTTAATTGGAATTTTATGCACCAGATGATGGAAAAGATTGAAGCGGGACAACATTTTAGAAATTGTATTGAAGCTATCTATTCTGAACAAAGAGCTAAAATAAATGTGAATAAAGAACTGACAGATAACTTCAAAGTACAGAAAGGAACAAGGCAAGGTTGTCCGTTATCACCGTTATTATTTATCTGGGTATTGGAAATACTTTTACAAAAAATACAGTACGATCAAGAAATAAAGGGCTTGACACATAAAGGACACCAATACAAATATCGAGCATTTGCAGACGATGTAATGTTTATGGTGGAAAACCCAACAGAAAAATTGACATTGCTTTTTCAAAAAATAAAGGAGTTTGGAGAATTGGCCGGCTTTTACGTAAATAAGAATAAAACAAAACTTATATGTAAAAACATGATCAAACAAAAACAAGTGGAACTACAAGAACTGGTACAATGTGAAGTAGTTAAAAAAACAAAATACCTTGGAATTGAATTAACGGCAAAAAATATAGACCTATATAAGAATAATTATGAGAAATTATGGACTAAGCTGACTCAAGATTTTAAGAAATGGGATAAAATGAACTTATCACTGATGGGAAGAATATCAGTTATAAAAATGAATGTCCTACCACGTTTGATGTTCCTGTTCCAAACAATACCAATTCTGCATAAAACGGATTTGTTGGCCAAGTGGCAACAAGAGTTGTCAAAATTTGTTTGGGCAGGCAAGAAACCAAGGATCAAAATGAAAATACTTTGTGATGCCAAAGAAAGAGGAGGTCTACAAATGCCAAATCTTAGACTATATTATGAAGCGGTTTGTCTAACATGGATGGATCAATGGGTGAAGCTTGAAAATGACAGATTGTTGGGGTTGGAAGGGCATGATTGTAGATTTGGCTGGCATGCATATTTATGGTATGACAAGATAAAAATGGACAGTTTTTTTAAACTTCACTTGGTGAGAAAAGCTTTGTATATGGTATGGACAAGATATAAGAAGTACCAGAGTGACTTAAGACCATTGTGGATTGTACCAGTAGAAGTGTTGATATCTTACTCAAGACAGCGAGGTAGAGACTGGTTGCCATATAGAGATTTAATTAAAAAAGAGGGAACAGAGTGGGTAATGAAAAAGCAGAATGAAATTGAATATGAATATGAGTGGTTGAAATATATGCAGATTTATGATCTTTTTAGATCTGACAAAAAAAACTATGGTTTTAGAGAGGAAAAAAATGAAATTGAAAAGGTTTGGGAGAGTGGAGGAGGAAAAAATATTTCTAAAATGTATAAGGTGTTGTTAAAATGGTATACTGAAGATGAAACTGTTAAAGAACAAATGTTAAAATGGGCTATTAATATGAATAAGGAAGTGGCTATGGAAACCTGGGAATATTTGTGGAAAAATTCTATTAAGATCTCGACATGTACTAATGTTAAAGAAAATTGTTATAAGATGATGTATAGGTGGTACATGACACCTAAGAAAATTGCAAATATGAATCAAAATATGTCAAACAAATGCTGGAAATGTAAGAGGCATGAGGGCTCATTTTATCATATGTGGTGGACTTGTGAGAAAGCTGTAGACTTTTGGACAAAAGTCCACAATGAAATGCAAAAAATATTGAAATGTTCTTTTAAAAAAGCACCGGAAATTCTGCTTTTGGGACTTAAAATGGAAGAAGTCAATACGACTAAAAAGACTTTACTCTGGTACCTGATAGTGACAGCGAGAATGATTTATGCTCAGTTTTGGAAGACAGAAAAGGTACCAGAGGTTGAAGAATGGATACAAAAAGTTCTGTTCATGGCACAAATGGATAAGATTACAAAAAAACTGAATAACAAAGAAGACGATGAGTTTTTTGGAGAATGGAATGATTTTAAAATTTATCTGGAAAAGAACTGGGATGTGAAACAAAACTTAATATGTTTAGATCAATATTAAGTCAAATGATGTTATCTTTAGATTGTAATGATGAGAAACTGATATTGTTGATGATATGAAGTAATTTGGAGCAGGGGTGGAAGCATTGTGGGAAGCCATTGGAGGGAGGGGAGGAACTGGGAATGGGGTAGACAATTGATAGAATGAAAAGTTTTATATGTTGTATTCCTGAGAAAATAAAAAATTTGTTTACCAAAAAAAAAAAGAGTGCGTTCCCCCAGTAAGCGTTTGGCGGAAGGCAGGTTTTATCCCGGAACCGAGAATGTATTTGAACTTGCTGCTATTATGGATTTGTAAGTGTCATTATTGTATTGATTGGTTTTTAGGGTTTATTCCCCTCCCTTGTCATCAGCTGTCCTTATACTGTTTTGAAAAGCATCTGGCAAGGTAGAAAGTGAACGAACGAACGAATGAACGGGTAAATACAGGGCAGTCCCCACAGTGTTCTTTCTGCTTCATGGGAAGAGTGCTGAAATGGCTGTGCTGAATGTGGGAACAGGCAGGGGAAGGTCAGCGGCTGCTCTTCTCCTCGGGGATAATTGCCACTCTCCGGCAACAGCAATTACCCCGGGGAAGAGCAAAGCAGTGGGAGGAGGAGAGGAGTGACAGAGACGGTCGTGCGCGCCCTGAGATTTATTGACTCCCAGCAAACAAACTGAGTAGCTGAGTAATCTTTTGACCACTTCCGCAGGCGACTCCTTCGGCATTGTGAGAGGCTCCTTGCAAGCCGCCACGGGCGATAACTGGAGCGCTCAAGGAGCGGGGCCCCCTAGCAGTGGTACGACGGCTGGGCTGGTTATTGGCTCGTTCCTCCTCCTCCTCCTCCTGCTTTTGGGAACCGCCCTGCTCCTCTACAAGAAAGGGGTAGTGAGGTAAGCGGGATGATCGGTGGCGGTGGGAAAAGTGGCCTGAAGTCACAGCTGACTTATTGCTAGGAAGAGCTGAAGGCAGCAGGAAAAGAGGAAGACCCAAGATGAGATGGATTGACGCTGGACCTTTCCGCATTGGCCTGCCACTCTGGATTGTCTCAGGAGCTGGGGTGGCTCAAGTGGTTAAGATGCTGAACTGCAGGCTGCGGAAGGTCATTAGTTCAGCAGTTCGAGACCCGGGTGCTGCATGATGGAGTGAGCTCCCATCTCTAGTTCCAGCTCCTGCCAACCTAGCAGTTCGAAAGCAAGAAATTGCAAGTAGATAAATAGGGACCACTTCGGTGGGAAGGTAACAGCATTCTGTGTGCCTTGGTGTTTAGTCATGCCGGCCACATGACCACGGAAACGTCTTCGGACAGCGCTGGCTCTTCGGCTTTGAAATGGAGATGAGCACCGCAACCCTGGAGTCGGATTTGACTGGCTTTCGAGCAAGGGAACCTTTACCTTTACTTTACTGTCTCAGTGTTCGAGTCGAGACTGTTTAAGTCCTTGCAGAATGTCATTCCTCTTAAGAACATAAGATAACATAATAGAAGCCAATGTTGGATCAGGCCAGGGGCCCATCCAGTCCAACACTCTGTCACACAGTGGCCAAAAATATCCGGTGCCATCAGGAGGTCCAGCAGTGGGGCCAGGACATTAGAAGCCCTCCCACTGTTGCCCTCCCCCCAAGCACCAAGAATACAGAGCATCCCTTGCCCCAGCCTGAGCGTTCCTATCTATACCTTGTGGCTAATAGCCACTGATGGACCCCTGCTCCACGTGTTTATCCAGTTCCCTCTTCAAGCTGATGACGATGATATTTATTGATTCATACAGTCCCACGGATGTGGATGGCATCGTACAGAGTACTAGAAGACAGGTCCCTGCGGGGAGGAGCTGTCAGTCTTAAAACCTTCCATATGAGAATCTGGGAAGGGAGGGGAGGCTTCCGTGAACTTAGAAGGGGGTAGCTTTGCTTAGGATGGCACTGTGAGCATCCTTCTGCTTTTAGCCTTGACTAATTGCCTCAGAGGGGTCTCAAGGATGGAGATGGGGGAGGGGGGTCTTTGGAGCAGCCCAGGAATTAGCAGCATTTAAGGCAGCCAAGCCATCCTCTCGGATAGTAGCCGTGACCCGGAGACCTAGAGAAGAGATTTGCCTTTACTGGGCATCCCGTTTCCTTTTAGGCGGTCTGTCCATTCTCCCTCCTGGGGCTCTGCCCATCTCGGCCTTTCTGCTAATTTGTGACTTCAGGGTTTCTGGGGCGGGGGAAGGGACTGCCTTTAGGATTGCCCAAACTAGGGTTGTCAACTGCAGATTGGGACATTTTTAGGGATTGGGGGTGGGGGGAGCCTTGAGAGGCCATGGCTTGGGGAGGGGAGAAACCGCAACAGGGTATGACGTCATAGAGCCCGTCTTCCAAAGCAGCCATTTTCTCCAGGGGAACTGATCTCTGTAGGCTGGAGTTGTATTTCCGGGAGGTCTCCAGGCCCTTCCTTCAGGGTGGCAACCAGCCCAGCTAATCTGTTGGGGGAAAGGAACCTGACAGAAAACCTTTTGAGTCAGTGGGAAGAATAGGTTGTGCAGAAGCCAGAAACTTAACCTCATTCTGAATCCCCCCCCCCCGAAGCTAGGATTTGTTTTGATTAAAACTCAACAGCACCATTTCCATGTGGTGATAATTGTCGCATCAATGCTCTCCTGCGGTGTTTCTGCGTGTCATGATGCCAGGAGTCCCCCCTGCCGTGCCCCCCCAGCTCTTTTTGATCTGGGGGGACGCAGTGTGCATGCTAACACAGAAACCGGGCAGTGTGGCACTACCAGTTGTGGGGATTGCATCACTCTGCAACCACCGACCCTGAAGTTCTCCACACAAGCCAGATTTGTGAATATATTTTGCCTTATGCCAAATCAGTTCAGCGGAGGGGCCATGGCTCAGTGGTAGAGCCTCTCCTTGGCATGCAGATGGTCCCAGGTTCAATCCCCGGCCTCCCCAGTTAAAAAGGACCAGGAGGTAGGTGATGTGAAAGACCCCTGCCTGAGACCCTGGAGAGCTGCTGCCTGAGAAGACAGTACTGACCTTGAGGACCAAGGGTCTGATTCAGTAGAAGGCAGCTTCATGTTTTCATGAGGTATGATGAGAACCATCTAGCTGAGTATTGTCTTCTCACAAGCAGACATTTCTCGGTACCTGCTGCTTTACCTTCTAGCTTGTCCTCATCCTTTTCTTTCTTACTTTCTTTCTTTCTTTCTTTCTTTCTTTCTTTCTTTCTTTCTTTCTTTCTTTCTTTCTTTCTTTCTTTCTTTCTTTCTTTCTTTCTTCTTTCTTTCCTTCCTTCCTTCCTTCCTTCCTTCCTTCCTTCCTTCCTTCCTTCCTTCCTT